AGAATCAGTTTTGTTGTGTGTTTCTTTGACTGATGAAGCCTTCCGGATCGAAGGCGAAACGTTTCAGCACAAAAAAAGAAACTGTCCAGATGACCTGACTGAAAAAGTTTGGATTTTATATCTGGATTATTGAACATGGACTTTGCTCTTTTTGTTTACTTTACCCAGAAATGTTCTTGTCACCATGGATTCACCTTTAGAACGCAGCAGAGTGCTGCGTGAGTAAGAGAAGCAGCCAACCCAGGCTTCCACAGGCGATGTGAGGACGTGAAGTCTTCAGTGTGATTCAAAGGAAGCGCTCGCCAGGTCAGCATGAGACTTCACAGCAGCAGCACAACATGGAGCCAACACACTCATACCACCAGGTGTGTGGAAGCAGGAGCAACAAAACAGGATCTGATCTTTTTCAGCCTCCCCGTAACTACATCTGTCACTTTTTATGTGTTCAGCTTGGTTCGATGTCACGACTCAGGAATGATTCAACAAATCAGGGTTGCAAAGACGAACATGAAGCTGCGATGGGAGGCTTTCATCTCCACTTCGAGCGCAGCTAACAGGGTTTAATTTTCATGAGGTGGCTAATGCTATATTTACTGTCTCGCTGTCAAATTAAAGACCTGAACTTCCATCACACCTCCCACCAAGCCAGGCCAGTCAAACGTCTGGAGATGAAGTGACTCAGCAGGAATGAATGAAAATGTTCTCCAGTGGTGATCAACAATCACAGAGAACCCAAAAGCTTTTAGCTGCCTGTTCTGTGATGATCATCTGGAAACAACTTGTAGACATGGAGGTTCAGTATTTTGTTACTTGTTAAAATGTGAATCATCATTAGTTCATTTATTTCACTTTTCACACTTCCCACGAGCGCACGTTGAGGTGTAGTGAGATAAAGGTGACTCAATGGACTTATCACGGACCGACTTGCACACACGGACATTTAGTGATGCTTAAGAGTCGAACGATCACCAGACTGATGGAGCTTATCTTACAGCTCATTGGCCTTGTGTTGGGTTTTGCTTTTCTCAAGTTTTAGTTTGTTGTGATTTTTCTTTGTGTTCAGTTTGTTTCCATGGCCTACCTGTACCCCCGGCCAGTCCCAGTAATTTCCTCTGTCATTTCCTACTCCTCAGTCCGGCCACGCCCTCTCGCACATGTTCTCTGTTTCCATTCATCCATCATCTTTACCCATTTCTTCCTTTTTGGGTCTCGGGGGTCACCGGTGCCCACATCCATCAGTCACTGTGCGGGAGGCGGGGTACACCCTGGACAGGTCGCAAGTCCATCACAGGGACACGTAGAGACAAATAAGACAACCATCCACTCACACCTAGGGACAATTTAGAGTTACCAATCAGTCTAACATGCATGTTTTTGGTCTGTGGGAGGAAACCAGAGTACCTGGAGAAAACCCACACATGCACAGAGAAAACATATACACTCCACCCAGAAAGCGGCCCCGGACCGGGATTTGAACCAAGGACCTGCTCGTTGAGAGGCAGCAGCTCTGAGTTGCGCCATCGTGCCGCCCTGTTCTCTGTTTCAGTAATCTTCCCTTGTCCCTCAGCTTCACCGCACTCATCAGTCTGGCATTGTGTATAATTCAGGCCACGTCTGTCCCCTTCGTGTCTCTTTGACCGTTTTGTAAGTTGTTGCTGCCATTTTAAACTTGCTTTTGTTAATAAATCTGAAGTGGTGGCGTCTGTCACTGTTGGGGATCCAGACTGAAAGCTGCCCTGAGTCACGATGATCTGTATCTGTCAGAGTTTAGATGACTGGCAGCGGTTTAGTGGTCTGCACTGTTGCCTCACAGTAAGAAGGTCATGGGTTCAATCCCCGGTTGGACCTGGGGTCCTTCTGTGAAGAGTTTGCGTGTTTTTGTCACGCTTGTCACGCTTTGACCTCCGTCAAATCATTTACATACAAAATAAACAATTTAGGTCCAAGTACAGAGCCTTGTGGCACTCCACATGAAATACTGCTTAGGTTAGATCTTACATCGTCTATTTGTACAAACTGTTTTCTGTTTTTTAAGTAACTACATATCCACTGCAAAGCTGGTCCTCTAATACCATATTTTTTAAATTTATTAATCAGAATGGTGTGGTCGATTGTGTCAAATGCTTTTTTTTAAATCGACAAATATACTTATACAATGTTGTTTTTGATCTATAGCTGTAGTAACTTGTTCTATCAACTGCATAAAAGCCATGGATAACCAGTAACCCATGTAACTTACTGTTTCTGCAACATTTCACCATTTAATGAATACAACTGCCTTACTGAAAATTATTGATGTAAATGGGATATTTAACCTTCATTTATTTATTTTATTTTATAATATACAGGTAATAAACCATGGTCTTTATGTGCTACGCCACCACGTAGTGGTGTGGCATGAGTATTACAGTTGTTTTGTAAAATGTGCATCACAAACCTGGTTACACACATGAAGAGACATTTCTGGCTTCTCTCCCTCCTAGAGGTTTTAATTTTAATTAAAACTGCACTCTCATCGATAAAATAGTAATGTTTTACGCTGTGCAGCTATTTATGTTAATAGCAAGACAACACATTTATCAGCACAGCACCACAAACACCTAGTGAACAAACCAGACAACAACTCGATGAAATTTGACTAAAACGTCTCGTCTTTGTGAGACTGACCTGACGGTGCGCTGCAGCAGCCTGCCAGTGGAGAAGATGTACTTTAGATAATGTCACAACACTTTTGTCTTGTTTGTAACAAGAGATTTGACTGTATGAGCAACAATAGAAAAGGTTTTAAAGACAAAATGACATAGAAAAGAATCAAAACTGAAATCTTACTCTAATAAAGACAAAACACAGGGTGATCTGAAAAAATAAAAAAACCTGAATGTTAATGAGGAAAATGTCTGCATTTTATTATCAAGAACATCAAAATAACTCAACATTTACGTCACGGTAAAAATGCCACAACTTAACCGTTATTGTGTTTTTATTTAAACATAATAGACTCAAAGATCGTATAAGACGTCCGTTACAAGAAATGGTCCCGCATGAAAACCACGAATGTGTAAAATATTTCACAAATGGAGGCAAAATCTGAGGGACAAGAATCCCATCGACACATTTAGAGGTAAGATAACTTGAGGTACGAGTTTCAGTTTTTACATAATTACAACATGTAAACAGGCATGTTTTACACAGTAACTATACATGTATATCAGTACAAAGACCAGGAACTCAAATAAGCAGAAAAAACACACAAGCTGAAGAAAACATGTAGAAGAGAGACAGAAAGAGGCACCGGGTTTGGAGTTAACTTCTCATAGAGTTCCAAAAAATAAAAAATACATTTTCAGTTTTTAAAATGTCACTTTTTTTTTTAAATCATAAAGCAAGAAATTTTAAATAATCTTATAACATTTGAAATTAATTAGAAAAAGTTTATGAGCATTACTTGAAAAACCAACAAAAACTTTTATTTACTGCATGAAAACGTCATTAACACCCAGAGATGGTCACAATCAGCTGAACATCAGGTCCTTTTTGAAACTTTATCTGAGATGTTCACTGCAAAAAGAAAATACCAGCAACTTCAAAACAATCCATCCTCCGTACAGTTATTTTACAGATTTGCAAAGTACAATAAAATAATCCACCATTTACAGTGAAAATGAAAACAATCCCTTCATTCTGCAGAGAAATGATCAAATCAGTTCAGTCAGGGATTCTTTTAGGAACCGTTTGACAATATTTGACCAAGTTATTTACAAAAACAACAGAAAAGAAGAAATCATATGTTTTTTTTATGCGTTATAAAAACATGTCATAAACCACAGAACAGATGTGAAGGAACCTTTCGGTAAATAATCGTTGACCTTAGCCAACATAAAAATGGGTATGAATTAGTCAGTTTGACAGATTATAAGCTAAGTGTGCGCAACGTTTAAAAAGTTTGGCTACAACGGCTAAAACTCCCTCATTTCTCATTAAAAGATTAAGTTGAATATTCAGGTGAGAAAGGCGGCGGTCTTTTATAAAAACGATAAATGTTACGTCAAAATAACTCCGTTTTTTTAAATTGGAGTTCTTGTGGACACGTTCAACTGTTCTTTCACTCTCAGGTGCAATCCTGTGTCAAAATGAAGATTATTACACATTAGTAGCTGCACAACGTTTTTAAGCTCGTGTGAAACTTTATTTTTTTTTATTTATTTAGGGTTTAAAATGTGGTTTTAAATCTGAAACTGTGGTATTTTAACTAAATTATTTAAAAACATTTTAACTCGCGGTTACCAAATTGTCTGAATCTCAAACCGCCGGCCCGTGCCTTCGGGATACTTTTTTCCCCCCTAAGATTATTATTAAGCATAATTAAAATATTTAATTACATTTTCAACATGATCCAACATTTTCTGATGCGATTCAATATATTGGACACCCAAACCCAACTAACATCTGGATCGTCCCACAAATATTCACCGACTGCTGAAACAGTTGTTTCTTGTCGAGTTTTCACATATTTTATTTTGGTCGTAATTAACCCTCAGGTCTTTGAACTTCATAACAGCATTGCTTAGGGCACAAACAGACCGCTTTAGTTAACAGCATAAGCAAGACATACTGTAACTGAAGTATTGCGATAGAGGTAAAAATAAAAATAAATTACTGAAAAGAATGCATTGTTTTACAACGCATTACTCATGCGATCAGAAAATGCATTTATAATGGGATTTCCCTATGGTTGATTTTCCTCTAAGGAACACTAGAGGGCAGTAAAGTTGTTGTGAGGTTAAGACCTTCCAAGTGTGCAGGTTTCCATTCTTTAAAAGCTTTTTGTGTCTCTGTGACTTTCATAGCAGGATGTAAATTATATTTTCCTTCTCTTTGCTTTCAGTCATGATTTATTTTTGTCCTGAGCAGAGCTGTACATGTGAGATTTTGTTTTTTTATCAGAATAAAGGTAAATGTTGGAGAGATGTTGTCATGTTGGACGTATGACGAGACGGTTTTTAACCCGACACCCAGTTGTGCGTGGTTGTCTTTACCCTCTTGGAAAACCCGCGAGGTCCAGCTGCGGGGTCAAAGTTGAAGTCCAGCCCCCCTCCATCCATGAGGGTGTCATGGAGGACAGAGTCCAGGTCACAGTCAAACCTCTCGATGGACATGTTGTCCAGGTCACTGGGCAGCCGCTCCTGATGGTGGTGATGATGATGATGATGGGTGTAGACTGAGTTCAGGTCCCTGTAGCTGAAGCCTGCTGGGAAACCGTTAGCGTGCGCTGGAGGTCCGAGTCCGGTGACTCGTTGAGAGGCCCCCGAAAGACTAGTTAGACTAGTCAGAGGTATCATGTCACAGATGTTGAGATCTCGTGAGGTAGCAAGGACCTGGCTATGTAAAGATGGTGGACTTCCACGAAAACCTGGATGACCCTGAGGGGGGCTGGTCAGTTTATGCCCCCCCATGTGACTTGAACCACAGTAAGTGGACATAAGGCAGTTTGTCCTCCCAACGTCAGATCCCCGAGTGTCATTAGAGGACATGAGGTTCCTGCTGGTGTCTGCGTCTGTGGTCAGCAGTTCTTGAAGGAGGCCTGCAGGAGAGACGTACTGGGTTTGGTAACCTCCAAACCCGGGCTTGGTCTCTGGGAGGGCCAACCTCACCTGGCCGTACGTGCACTTCGAGTAGTCCTGATTCAAACCCATGGAGTTGTAAGAGCTAGTCTGGAGGATGGCAGCGTTGGAGGACTGTGAGGGGTCCGAGCCCAGCTGGGGGGCTTTAGGAGAGAGCAGGTGCAGGTTGTCCAGCAAACTCTCCATCACGTGTTCTGACCCGCATCGGCCCACCTCCGAGAGGCTGGGCAGGGCGGAGGTCTTCTTGGGCCCCGAGGTTCCGGGATACATCATGAGTCCATCGGATTCCACGAGATCCTCTTGTTCTGAAGGGAAAGGAGACCGGCGTCCACTCAGAGTGCTGGCGTCAGAACTGGTCCGGGTTCTGAAGGAACTCCACGCTTCAAAGTCCTCGTTGCTGTGGGAGTTTGGACTCCCCAGCCAGTACTGGGAACTGGGACTCCCTGCTCCCCCCTCAGCTTCTTCTTGTAAAGACATCTACGAATACAAAAACATAAAAACTCCAACAAACGTCTACAAAACCAACACATTTAAAATAAATTCAGGTTCAAGAGAAATAAAACAAAAACTAAAAATTAAAATTTTTGTTTACATGAAAAATGTCTGAATGCTGAATATACAGGTCCTTCTCAAAAATTTAGCATATTGTGATAAAGGTCATTATTTTCCATAATGTAATGATAAAAATGAAACTTTCATATATTTCAGATTCATTGCACACCAACTGAAATATTTCAGGTCTTTAATTGTTTTAATACTGATGATTATGGCATACAGCTCATGAAAACCCAAAATGCCTGTCCCAAAAAATTAGCATATTTCATCCCACCAATGAAAGACAAGTGTTTTTAATACAAAAACCGCCAACCTTCAAATAATCATGTTCAGTTATGCACTCAATACTTGGTCGGGAATCCTTTTGCATGAATGACCGCTTCATTGTGGCGTGGCATGGAGGCAATCAGCCTGTGGCACTGCTGAGGTGTTATGGAGGCCCAGGATGCTTCGATAGCGGCCTTAAGCTCATCCAGAGTGTTGGGTCTTGCGTCTCTCAACTTTCTCTTCACAATATCCCACAGGTTCTCTATGGAGTTCAGGTCAGGAGAGTTGGCAGGCCAATTGAGCACAGTAATACCATGGTCAGTAAACCATTTACCAGTGGTTTTGGCACTGTGAGCAGGTGCCAGGTCGTGCTGAAAAATGAAATCTTCATCTCCATAAAGCTTTTCAGCAGATGGAAGCATGAAGTACTCCAAAATCTCCTGATAGCTAGCTGCATTGACCCTGCCCTTGATAAAACAGTGGACCATCACCAGCAGCTGACATGGCACCCCAGACCATCACTGACTGTGGGTGCTTCACACTGGACTTCTGGCATTTCCTTCTCCCCAGTCTTCCTCCAGACTCTGGCACCTTGATTTCCGAATGACATGCAAAATTTGCTTTCATCCGAAAAAAGTACTTTGGACCACTGAGCAACAGTCCAGTGCTGCTTCTCTGTAGCCCAGGTCAGGCGCTTCTGCCGCTGTTTCTGGTTCAAAAGTGGCTTGACCTGGGGAATGCGGCACCTGTAGCCCATTTCCTGCACACGCCTGTGCACGGTGGCTCTGGATGTTTCTACTCCAGACTCAGTCCACTGCTTCCGCAGGTCCCCCAAGGTCTGGAATCGGCCCTTCTCCACAATCCTCCTCAGGGTCCGGTCACCTCTTCTCGTTGTGCAGCGTTTTCTGCCACACTTTTCCCACAGACTTCCCACTGAGGTGCCTTGATACAGCACTCTGGGAACAGCCTATTGGTTCAGCAATTTCTTTCTGTGTCTTACCCTCTTGCTTGAGGGTGTCAATGATGGCCTTCTGGACAGCAGTCAGGTCGGCAGTCTTACCCATGATTGCGGTTTTGAGTAATGAACAAGGCTGGGAGTTTTTAAAAGCCTCAGGAATCTTTTGCAGGTGTTTAGAGTTACGTCGTTGATTCAGATGGTTAGGTTAATAGCTTGTTTAGAGAACCTTTTCATGATATGCTAATTTTTTGGGACAGGCATTTTGGGTTTTCATGAGCTGTATGCCATAATCATCAGTATTAAAACAATTAAAAGACCTGAAATATTTCAGTTGGTGTGCAATGAATCTGAAATATATGAAAGTTTCATTTTTATCATTACATTATGGAAAATAATGACCTTTATCACAATATGCTAATTTTTTGAGAAGGACCTGTATAAGTGAGCTAAAAGCTAACAAAACAAAAAGCCAATTGTAGCAAAACAGTAGATGAAAGCTAAAATACCCAAAGGCTAACCAAAGGTTAGCTAAAAGCAATTGAATTATTAGCTAAATGCTAAGAATAGGCAAATAGGCAAGCTAACAGTAGCAAAAGGATAGCTGAAAGCTAAATATAAAAAGTTATTTAAGAGCCAAATGTAACAAAATGTTACAAAGTTAAAAGGTTAAAAAGCTAAATGTAAAAAATTAACAAAATACGAGCTAAATGTTAACTAAAAACTGAATGTAACAAAAGGCTAGCTAAAAGTAGCAAAAATATAAGAAGTTACAAGTAGCGAAAGGTGTGCTAAAAGCTAAAGACGCAAAACAGTAGCCAAAAGTAGCAAACGTCTAGCTAAAGGCTTAAAATAGCAAAAATATATGTAAAACCCAAATGTAACAAAACGCTAACTAAAAGTTAAAATTACCAAAATGCTAGAAAAAGCTAAGTTATATTGTTATTTAAAAGCTGAATGTAGCTATAAGCTAGCAAAAAGTAGCAAACGTATAAATACAAGCTAAGAGTATTAAAAGGTTGAATTATAAATAAAGTAGTAAAACAGTAGCTAAAAGTAGCAAAAAAGCTAACTAAAAGCTAAAGCAGCAAAAGAGTAACAAAGTAGAAAAAGGGTAGCTAAAAGCTTAAAAACAGCAGAAGTATATTAAAACCCAAATGTAAGAAAGTGCTAGTTAAGTTAAAATTAATAAACTACTAGCAAAAGCTACAATTAGCTAAATGTTAGTGAAACATTAAAATACAAAAACAATAGCTAAAAGCTAAAAGAGCAAAAGGATCACCAAAAGTATCAAAAGGCCAACTAGAAACAAAATGTAGCAGAACAGTAGCTGAATGCTAAAAGTAGCCTAAGCAGACATTTGCTGAAGCAGATTTTAAAGGAATTAAAGACATTTCAGTGTATTTCTATGAAAAAATTATAAATTAAGTCAAACATTTTGAAAAATATAACAGTTATAAGAAGTAAAGCTCTCATAGCACCTATCTTTTGAATGAGCTCAGTAGTTTAATATTTGAATGGCTGTATAGAAGCATTTAGAGTACTAGTACTCGAGTACACTGCTCCTGTTGGAGAACCTCCTCGTACCTTCTTCTTCGTGGCCCGTCCTCGGCTCTTCACAAACTTGTTGTTGTTGTTGTCCATGGAGGCAGCTCGGCGGCGGGGCGACTTTCCGCTCTTTCCTCCGTCTGGGTTCAGCATCCACCAGGAGCTCTTCCCCGTCCCCTCGTTCTGGATGCGCACGAAGCGGCTGTGCAGGGACAGGTTGTGTCTGATGGAGTTCTGGGTGGAGGAAGACGAGAAGCGTTCACTGGTTTTTATCCGACAGGAACACAGAGTCTGGAGTTCAGCAGAAGAATGCTGCTTAGCAGAGATTCATCAAAGTTCATCAGCTGCTGCTCATGTCCGTATCACAGGCCGATCAGTAACAGTGTGAATGTTCATGAAGCATTCACACGGTCGTGAGCCATTTTTACTCCGCACATTTTTTGGAATCTTTCTTGTTCCACAATTTTTTGTGCTACTTCAACAAATCGTGTATCAAAATGTTCAGCTCACTCGGGAAAATGGTGACGACTTTTGGTATTGGTGCAGCTTTGGCTTTTTGAAATATTTAGCCTTTTCTGCCACTTTTTCCCCTCATAGGAAATGAATAGAGCTCATTTTACATCCGTCAAGTCTTTAGATCTGTTTACAACTTTTTACTGCTGCTTTCATGTTTTGTTCTGGTTCAGCTTCTTTGTGAAAATTAAAAAAAAATAAAAATCAGCTAATTTCAGCTGTTTTGTGCTCCTTTCACATTATTTCTGCTAATTACAATTTTGTGCTTCTTCTAACTTATTCCTGCTAATTTCATCTTATGCTCCTTTCAGCTTATTTCCGCTAGTTTGAGCTTTTTCTGCTATTTCAGCTACTATTTGGCTGTTTTATGCTAATTTCAGCATTTTCAACTACATCCACATTTTTTGCACTCATTTCAACTTTTTTCAGTCTAATTCAGCAAAATTGTGCTCTCCAATTCCTTCTGATAATTTAAGCTTATTTCTGCCTTTTTAGCTACTATTCAGCTGTTTGTTGTAAATTTTGGCTTTCTTCAGATAATTTCTAAATTTTTATGCTAATTTCTGCTTCTTTAAACCTAATTGGACACAATCGTGCTCTCTCCACTTTCTTATGGTATTTTAAGCTGCATCCTGCCTTCAGCTACTTTTCAGCTACTTTTAGCAAATTTCAGCCTTTATTTACTCATTTTTGTGCTAATTTCTGCTTATTTAAATCAAATTCAGCAAATGTGTTCTTTCTGCTTTCTTCTGCTAACTTACGCTTATTCTTCCATTTCAGCTACAAAGTACATTTCAGCATGTTTTTAGCTAATTTCAGCTGTTTTTCAGCAAGTTCTTCTGCAATAATTCACACTGCATTTCCACAGGAAATGCAATTTCTCTAATTTTGTTTGTTTTTGTGTATGGTGGGGGTTTCCAGTCCTGGTCCTTGAGGGACACCGTCCTGCATGTAATGGATGTCCCTCTGCTCCAACACACCTGATGTCAATCAATGGATGATCAACAGGCTCCTGCAGAACTTGAAGAGGTGATTCAACCGTTGAGTCAGCGGTGTTGGAACAAGGAAACAAGTAAAACATGCAGGGTAGTGGCTCTCGAGGACCCTCATTGGACACTCGGATAGTGATATGGCAACCAACAATCCCATTTTCTGTGATTTCCACCTAGCTTTATTGATTTAGCACCATCCGAAATAAACAGAAATAGACGTAAATAAATGGTATTGATGATGGATGTTGGACATGTCCACCAAGATCACATTTTGTTTGTGACAACTAAAGCTTAAAGCTAGATGACTTGGTTCTGAGCAGCCTAGTCCTTTTTTTGTCTGTGGTCCTGTCCAAATAAAGCCTCCTTCCAGTCCACTTTCTTTAATGTCAGGTTATGGTTCTACAAAACCACACAGGGGCACCTCCTGTCAGAAAGACCAACGCAGCCGGCTGCAGGACGGAAAGACGACCACTCTGCACTGCCTGACAACAAAAAACTAAACAACAGTACTGCATACAGCAATGACCCACACAAGCAAAGACCTTGTATAACCTTTGACCTTAGAGCTGAGGTGATTAGAGACTGTGTACCATTTCCTGCTGCCAACAGTTTTGGACCCTTAAGTTGTTTTGTCTTGGTTTCCAGCAGCAGCTCCAACCATGAAGAATGTTGGAGCAGAAAACCCATGGACAGGCTCCTCAGGTCCTCGGAGACCTATCGGCTCCTCTCAGATCCACGGGTTCAGTAACTCATGGAGCACACAGTGGGAACTGCAGGGTTCCTCGTCTGTTCGAGGGAACAACAACACGTGGAATTCCCTTCCAACCACTTTATTGATGTCATTTTAATCTGTTTTAATTCGGTTTTATGAACAGTGTACTGTTTTATTCTTTTAAAATTTTCATTTTTGTACCTAAAGGCCCATCTAGGATTAACCTAAGCTACAGTATAAACAATAAGCAGCAAACTGGTTGATCCACTATGAGAAGGTGCCATTTAGAACTAAGACTGGTTGGTTGCAGTGTTTCAGACTGAAGAAGTCTTTTGGATAAAAGACCAAACGTTTCAACAAAGAAGAATCCGTCTACATGACCTGACTCAACCTTGTTAGACTAAGCTATAAACGTTTTAGTGTACGGTATTTAGAAATACTTGACACATGTCCCTTTATAAATGAACAAACCGGAAAAAAAAAACCCGGATTATAAAAGTGTACACGTTGTCTAGCCGTGGTACAAATGCGTCAAGTTTTGTTAAATTATCTTGAGCGGATCAGAAGGGGAAAGTTGACAGACGTAAACCACGCCTTTTGACGGACGAATAAAAATGGTTCTGACGTGAAATCTTTACCAGCGGGGACTTCCCTCCACAAACTCTCATGTGAGCAACAACAACACTCCCTGCAGTTAGTGAGGCCAGATGTCCTCAACCACACGATTCAACCGGGACACGAAAAAACAACTCGTGTCTCAAACAAAAAGACCGACTGTCTGCAAGCGTTGGTCAAAAGTCCAGATCAACATGTTTGACTTCATTCATTTAGCAGAAATAATATCTTGTTAATCTGATGCAGTTGCTGATTAAACGTGTGGAAAAGGTTGAACTTTTCAACCATTTCCAGAAAAACTGTAGACAATAAGGCCTTAAAGGAATGCATATCGCCCGCCACCTTTTATGCCAGCATTTTCAACTAAAGTCATCTAATGATGAGAAAAAACAGAGTTCGAGCCGTCTTAGTCCAACCTGGTTAATAACGTTATGTATGCTGTGTTAGTGCTTTAAGTATGAGTTGAGGACAACTCTCAGCTACTACCACACCTAATTTCAGCTCAATATCTGTAAAACTGTCTGACTTGTTCTTGTGTTTGCTAAGTTCAAGTAGCTGTGGCGGCCATCATGAAGGGCGTTGACTCCAAATGTTAATCGGTCATAGTCGTCCACTCGGTAATGACTTCCTGAAGGTTTCATTTAAATACGTCTAGTGTTTCATGAGATATTTTGCTAACAGACATATTACTAACACTTCATGCCATAAAATTGAGCAATGACTACTTAGAGTAAGTGTTGTGTAATACTCTCAGCTACTACCACACCAAATTTTAGCTCAATATCTGTAAAACTGTTTGACTTACAGTTCATTTTGTGCTCTCTATAATCAGTTGGCTGTGGCGGCCATCTTTAATTGGGTTAACTCTAAACGTTATTCAGATGTAGCTGTCCATCCAGTGATTCATTTCTGAGAGTTTCATTAAAATCTGTCCGGTGGTTAATAAAATATTTTGCTAACAGACAAACAGAGTCGACTCCCAACAGCTTTGGATAAAGTTTTCAAAACAAAAGTTGCACAATCACTTGGCTCTTCGGGGTATAAGCTGGGGATGGGACTCGGCTACTACCACTGAGCTGTAGCTGTTCTTGTGTTTGCTCGTGTTGAGGAGCTGTGGCGGCCATCTTTAATTGGACTGGTGTCAAAAGGCTCACCGCTGTAGACGGACGCACGATAATTACTCTGAGATTTTCATTAAAAACCATCCAGTGGTTAGAGACGTGTCTCTAAGAAGACAGTCGCACGAACGCCCTTTCTCGCCTTCGGCTGCAGATAAAGACGTGTTCGTGAGAAAAACTCAAACCACACGTTCAACCTCAGCCTCTCCACGCGAGGAGGATCCAGAGGGCTGCGTGAGAACAAAGAGCGGCCCTGCAGAGCGCCGATGGAGCAGAGGTCAGAGAGTTCGCGCAGTGTTTTTTTTTTTTCCGCCTGCAGACGTGGGGTCGGCGAGGTCATCTGAACATGAGCTCCTCGGCCTGCGCTCACAAAGACGTGCCAACAGGTTGGATGGAAGCGGGACGGAGGAGACGCTCGGCGGGGCCGGACCCGTTTCTGTGACGACCCCGATGACCCCCGCTCCACAGAGCTGCTCCCTTTCTCCTCCACACACACACACACAAAAAAAAAAAGTCTTCCTGTGTCAGAGGACATCCTGCACACGCAGCCTGAAGATACTCGGTAAACGGACGTTCTGACGTCTTTTCGTCGTGTTCGTGACCTTTTCTCTTTTTGTTCGTGTCGTCAATCTGCAACTGAAGACAGGATGTGAGTCATTAGAGGAGAACCTGAGCGCTCCGTCTGCACACCAACTCTTATTCCGTTAACCAAAGGGCGCCGCGTGCCAACATGTAAACCTTCAAAACCCTCGAAATCAGGAGCAAGAAATTTTATTATGTGGGGGGGGAAACTGAAAAATCCTCGGGGGTGGGGGGGCACCAAAACTAAAAGCCAGAACAGAAAATACATGAATTGTTTTGATGTTACGCTTTTGCTCTAAAAGTATATCTTTCATTTGAAAGGTTGTGTTGAACAGGGCAGCACGGTGGATCAGTTAGTAGAGCTGCTGCCTCTCAGTGAGCAGGTTGCCCTGGTTCAAATCCTGGCCGGGGGGCCCTTCTGGGTGGAGTTTGCATGTTCTATCCGTGCATGCGTGGGTTTACTCCGGGTACTTCGGTTTCCTCCCACAGACCAAAAACATGTATGTTAGGCTGATTTAAATTGTCCCTAGGTGTGAGTGAGAGAGTGAATGGTTGTTTGTCTCGTTTGTCTTCATGTGTCCCTGTGATGGACTGGAGACCTGTCCAGGGTGTCCCCTTCCTCTCACGGAGTGATGGATGGACATGGGCACCAGTGACCCCCACGACCCGAAAAGGAAAACGTTTGTGTTTGAACAAAACATT